CAGCTGGTCTAATGACATAATTATGTTGATTTATAATATTTCTGGAATCCCTTTTGTATGTACATTTATTCCCTATATACCATTACTTTTATATTCTGAATATCTGCCAATAATAGTGCCTAAAAAAACATCTAAATTGGTGATTCTAATCAATAGATGTATTGAAGGTAAATATATTTTTCAGAACTGGTATCCATCCCATTAACCTCGATAATATTATTAGTCCTATTATGGGGACCTTCTTTGCTAATAAAAATATTTTTTAACTTTTAGCTTCATTATATATTTATCCACATCTATATATAAATCTATTAGACTCATATTTCTACTTCAAACCTTTATCTAGAACCTTTAATTCTTTAAGTCCTAGATCAGTCGGACTAAGATTACAAATTCCCTGCTCAATTACTCTTGTCTCTTAAATTTATTTCCTTCCTCTGTACCATCTCTCCTTTCTGTTTTTTCCTTCTCCATGTCTGTTGTAATCTTTCTCTTTGCTTCCCTCTCTCTCTGGCAAGTCACTTGGTGTGTGAAAACAATTATATGTGGAAATTGTATACAAGGTTTCTCCACAATTGTGGTTTCTCTGTTTTTAGTAATCAGCTCTGTCCCTATATTGAATGTGGGCTATAATTCATGGTGGACCCGTGTATATCCTCTCTGATTCCAGTTGAGGTTTCTATATCCACCATATTCATTATGATCTTTAAACTTATACCTGTTGTTTTTTTTTGGCAGGAATCCCTGGCAGGAATTGAAAGCTTGTTAGAGTACTATTATTGTTATCTGGCAACCCAGCAGTTGGTGGATGGGCTGCGGCTGGATGTCAATATATACAACAGCTGGCAACAGACGGGACAAATGCTAAAGTGGTGTAAAGTTTGCCATACACTAATACAATGTAGAATGGTGTTTGAAATGTGTTCTTTTTAGGATCGTTTGTTCGATTTTCTAAACTGACATTCATTTTGATTGCAGTTTCAAGAAAATTTAAAGGAATAGGATGATACATTTTTTTCGAACAAACAAATTTCTATCAGTGTGTGTGTTTTTTGTTCAGGAAAATCCATTAATTCCAAAACCAAATGTTAGAGGCAAACAATATTTAGAAATACTTCTGAATAACACTTGTCAAGTTATTGAATGTATTGATGATAATTTTTGTGCAAATGTTCATGCAAATTTTTGTATAACCATGTGTTTGATAATCTACTACTTTAAAACCAGATAAAGTATAGGCAAATGCGCAGTACAAAACAACAGGCAGTAGTAGAATGAGCAGATTGATGGCTAGGTTTAGTCCAGTCAAACAGAGGCCAAGTTACAGGCAAAAGTCTGATTTACTAAAAGGGTATTGCATCGTCACACAATAAATTGTGTGGCATGTCTATGCTCTGTGCATGGTTGTACGTTTATGTTGGAGGAAATATAAGCACTTTGGGCAGGATTGAACAGGGAAGGATGGTTCATCTAATGCAGGGTTTCTCATCTGGGGTTCCTCCAGGGGTTGCTAAGAGTTCCTTGAGCAATTTCTGCCTTTCAGATAAGTTCCCACTGACACCATTGATCTTTGTAGCTATCTGTAAGGGGGTAATTCCTCCCAATGTCCACAAATGTAAGGAGCATTCTTCCCACTGATCATCACACTAATGTACCATGAGTTGTAGAAATAGTAATTTTTAGCAGGGGTCCCTGAGACTGGAAAGTTATTTCAAGGGTTTCTCTGGGTTGCAAAGGTTGAGAAAGACTGATCGTATGTAATTTACAAAGTAGAGGTATGATCTTATACTCTATTATGCCTGTGTTTTTCCTACATTGTATATGCTTTTGAATGCAAATTTTCTTTAAATTTCATAAATACAATTGATTGGGATCCACAAAAAACAGTTCCATCCAACTCACAGGTAGTACAAGTTTGGAGTTTAAAAAAAAAAGAAAAAAAAAAATATATTATTTGTCTTTGCTTGTATGTATATTGATTTTGTGTAGACAACAAAATGTAAGCACCACTGTTGCATCAGCTGATGTATTCATTTATGTGTGAAATGACAGTGTAAGAGACATACAGCACTTTAATATTGTAAAAAAATTATTTATTGCAAAAAAAGGACATAAGAACAATTATGATATCTGCTTTACTATCATATATCAAAAACAATGTAAATCCATCTTTTCTGTCCAAGTCGATATTTTAAGCTAGAGCAATAAAATTATCAATGATACTTAATGGTAATTAAACTTGTAGAACAACAACAGGGGTGATATAGTAAAGGAATATAGTATGTTTACTTTGCAAAGTGCATGTTCACATAGCATAGTAACTGAGGTGTGGTAACTTAACCTCCTGCTGCCCATGCAATGCATATATGCAGCGTAAAAGAGGGTGGGCTTTTACGTCAACATGCTGAGAGCATGCTCACCTTTAGTCAACCCCAGTTGTGTCTAAACGAAAAATCCATATTCAACTGGAGAAAGCTATGATATGACTCCAATAATATTAAGCAACATTTACACATTCCCTGTCAATGGATGCCTCTAAAGCCTTAAAGTGATATTAAAGGCATTTAAAAAAAATAACAAACATGCCATACTTACCTTTTCTGTTCAGTGGTTTTGCACAGAGCAACCCCGATCCTCTTCTTGGGTCCTCCACCGGCTCTCCTGGTCCCTCCCTCCTGCCAAGTGCCCCTAGAGCAAGCATCTAGGATGCATAGAATGCATGAAAGTAAACAAATCTTGAGCCTTTACACTTTATACGGTTTAAAAAATGAACAATAGCTATAATTTACTGCCCTGCTTTACTGTATCACATTTGTCACAAAAGTGGATTTAAGTGGACTTTAAACCACATTTTAAAATACAATATCTTGATACCTTCAGCTTTGCAAATACCTTGAAAGATATCAAGTTCATACCAAGCAAATGCTCCCCTAAAGCTAAAAATTCTAACTCTCCTAAATATACATTCTAATAAAAAATGAACTCAGTGTATTCCTATACTTGCCAAATCTTACACTATATATGTAAATGTTTTCTGTAATGGCAGTGACATGGTTTAAATGACCCTATAAAGAAACAAGGGTACATGGGTATAAAGCATTTTATGTTGAGGAGGAACCATTATAATGAACACGACATATAGAATTTAAATTACTTATATTGTACAAAGAGCATATAAAGTAACCTATAGAAGATAACTAACCAAGATCCCACTTCCAGGTGTATCAGGTGCTTGGTTCCCCACTGGGTGGTTCCATCCTATGGTCTCTTCATCACTACTGTGTCTTGTAATGGTGTAGGGCAGTGGTCTCCAAACTGTGACCTGGGGGCCAGATGTGGACCTTTGCTTGCTTTTTTCTGGGGGCATTATTCCACCAAGTGACACCAATGCTGGAGCACCATTCCCCCTACTGACACCATCAATGGGGAAATATTCTTATCATTGATATCAACAATGGGACACTATTTTTCCCATTAAAACCAATGATGGGACACTGATGCCAAGGCATTTTCTGCTTCCACTTGCCACAGTCCGGTCCCGCTAAAGCCTAAAACACAGTAAAGTGGCCCTTTGCTTAGAAAGTCTGGAGACCCATGGTGTAGGGAAGGCTGATGGAATCACGTCATGCATCCAACACTCCCAAGAGTATGTTTGATGAAAAATATTCTTTGGCATCAGTAGCTCTTAAAGACAGCAAAGATCAGTGACATGGGTGTCAGAACAAGTATTGAAAGTCTTCCTTAACAGAGATAATGTTCCTCTTTTCCAGGTGGCAATGTAGTTGCTTTATTTATTTAAAAAATATAGATTACCAGCATGTGTGGAGCTTCTAGTGACATTTTCTCATCTCAAACACTATCATTATCATTGTCTAGGATATCATCATCCGTGCCCAGGATTTATCCCTTCTTCCCAAACAAAAAGATACTGGCAGAGACAGACTAGTTTGCATTATAAAAAGTGAATAATTGGTATATCAAACAATATTTAGCAGGTCCATGAATTCTAGGGTAGCTTTGAAAAGCCTGCTTTGAACTGAGAACTTATAGCCAATCCAGTCTCTTTGCATCTTATCTTATACCATCAGTAAATTTAGCAAACAAATTTGCATTACAGAATTTGAAAGAAATTGATTTCCTTATTTATAGCAACTACACAGTAGTGACTTGGCCTATCCTGCTTGTAGTCCAACATTCTTTATTGCTTTCATCCTATCTTTATTGATGTACACTATATATATATATATATAATGATCTGCTTTCTTCATAACAGGGATGGTTCAACCAAAGTCACATTCAATGTTATGTTCTTCATTTAGAAAAACCTGTCAACTGTTTTGGACTTTAGCTGCATTTTTTTCAATGTGCTTTAAGTAAAACAGTATTTTATTAAAATACAAATTCTTTCAAAAACTATCTTCTGTTTTAGATTTGGACAACTAAAACAATGCTTCTATTGTGGCTCACTGGCTTTAGTTCAGAAAATTATGTAGACAATTTACACAGCATTTCATTAAGTGATATAAATAGCTACATAACTGTGTTTAACTATAAAAAATGTATTGCAAAACCACTAACTCCTTAACATGCAACTTTGCCTTTGAGATTCCAGTATTTAAAAAAGTCCTTAATACTTATAAACCTGTGTAATAGTATGGTAATTACTGCTTGGTAATCTGAATACTAATAATCTAGAAATGTTTAACAGCCTTTTAGATGTCTTTGTGGTAATATTTTATTTATAATTACTACGGGACATTTGAATGGCTATGCATTATGTACAATATTTTCTATATGCTGCACAATGTTGTATAATAACAAAAGATTAGACTGTGTAGTGTTTTATAAGTTACACACTTCAAGCCTGCAGCTCTTTAACTGTCTTGAATCTGTATAAATATACATTTGGACCAGGTAAAGTTCATTGAAAAATTGGTCATTTGTGGGTTATATTCAAGGTGGCATAGAGAAAAAAGATTTTCAAGTCTCAGTGGAGTGAATTACACGTAGTCTTTTCCTGCAGGTGCTGAGGGTGCATTTTTGTGGTAGCCTCTAGGTGGTGGGTATGAGGTTTCCCTTCTAGGACAGGAGCAGCACAGCAAGGCCCCTCCTAAAATTGCCATTGCGGCACCAGCCCAACCAATAAATAAAGCTGGACCAAATTCATATCTGTAAGAGAGAGGAACATTCATTAATGCTGAAACATTCAGTGGCGTAGCAAAAGAATATTATTACAAGGTTTTGGATACTTTCTTTACATATTGTTGGATGTGATTCCTTCAATGATTTCTGTACATGAATTGTAGAGCTGCCAAGTGAATCCTAAAGCTTAGCATGTGTCAAAGGCAACAATGTCATCTGCATTCCAAGATAGAATCTTGCAAATGGTTTTATTGTGCTATATGTTCATACATAGCCCACTGGGCTACTCCATCTGAGAAGGGAAAGGATCCCAGTTGGGTAGTAGATGGAAATGTAGCATGTATTTCAAAGTTCTCTTGCTGTCTTTTATGTTGCTGTTGTATGAGTAGAGCCAGAACAAGCAAAGACAGAGTCTGTTCCTGAAGCTGGGGAGAACAATTGCACATGTGCCTGGAATGGAGTCACATACAGCACTGGGTTTAAAGCTAATTGGGTTTCCCCACCATTTCTTAGCATACATTCTGCCAAATGATAGGAGTATTTACTAATTGTATTGAAATCTTGAATCCTTGTACTCACAAACAAAAGTCTTCTGAGTATTTTAAAATAAAATTTTAGGAAAGTGTAAAAGACTATAAAGTACACTTGCTATACTTACTTGGAGTTGGTTGGGGTAAATGCATTGTAGAAATCCCTGGCAATTTGGTTTCCATACCATGCTGTTGCAATAAGCACACATAGCCCTAGAAAGAAAAAAAAAAAAATCATAAGCCATTAAGACTCTAATTAAAAACTCAGATCCTAAGAAAAAAAAAGGCTGAAAAATAACAGATTATCAGAATGTCCGGCCTTAGATAACAGAGAACAGTCATACGCAGAGATACCAAAAGGTATTTTGAAATATTTTGCCATAAACATACATGTTCAGATTCTCTATGTGCACATTTTATATCAGTGTGTGGACATACAAAGCGAAAAATATGTCATCATCACTCCAAGTATCTCCAGAATGGGTCCACGTTTTATTCAGCGATCATATTATAAATACAGAAACAACATTTTAGAGCCTCACAGGACCCCTTCATCAGGCACTCCATGGAAGACCACAAGACACTCAATATAGAAAGTGTATGAATTGTCAGGTAGCAAGTGTCCCACTGTTTTACTTTGAAAAGGTCTGCATGTGTGAATACCATTCCCAGGGTCACCTCTAATTGTTTATATTTAAACCTGTTTCAGTATCAGTGTCTGCTGGAAATTATAGTGTAATACTGTGAATTTAGTGAACAACAACCTATCTCCATGGGACACCAAATAATAGTTATACATACCAGCAATGATGAAAAGAATACCACCAACGATCCCAACTTTGGCTTTCTTCACCTCATCATCTTGAAGGCAAGTTAAGCATTTCATTCCCACTGCAGCAATACAAGCAGCAAAGAAACCAAAAAGAATTCCACAGATCATCAACGCCCGGGTCGCCTGCATAGTGCCTAGTAAAAGTGAAAGGGAATATTACAAAGTATCCTCATTTATTATGCATTACATTACAAATTGGTTCCCATTCAATGGTCAAGAGGCACAACAACTTGAAAAGTACAGTAAATTCACTTTGGGGGCTATATACTAAAACTGCATGGTACAAAATCTGGTGCAGCTCTGCATAGAATCCAATCAGCTTCCACATTTTATTGTCAAGGCTTAAAACACGGGTGTCAAACTGGCGGCCCTCCAACTGTTGCCAAACTAAAAGTCCCATGAGGCATTGCAAGATTGATGGTTACAAGCATGACTCCCAAAGGCAGAAGTATGATGGGACTTGTAGTTTCGCAACAGCTGGAGGGCTGCCAGTTTGACACCCCTGGCTTTAAAGCACAAGTAGAATGTTAGAATCTGATTGGCCACCATGCACAGCTGCATCAGATTTCGAGTGCACCAGTTTTAGTAAATCTCCCCCTTTGTATATCTAAATAATATCATTGTGCACACTTCAGCTTTGTATTGGATAGAGTGAAAATTGAAAATAAATGTTAATGTATTGGATTGCTAGATCCCTTTTTGGGTAAGCCAACAAGATTGTTAAGTTATCCTTTACATGATACCCAAGAAAATAGGCCTTAAGCTCAATTAGCCCCAATTTCTGCAGAAAGCAGAGACCAGTGATAAAGAAAACAGACAATAAACATTTTTTACCCGCCTGAAAATTTGCATATCGAGCCATCTGTTCTGCAGAAAATCATGCAATACAGAAGTTAATATGATCATGCTTCAAGAATTGTTTGAATCTTCAAGGATCATACAAATCTACATGTGTGTATTTATGTGAACACTACTCTGTAACGGGACATGGCAGGTAATTCAGTGCTGTTGCTTTTGCTGCTGCCTGAGGGAATTTTGTAATATTAATCATGCAATCATACACACATCAAAAATGATACTTTGACAAATTAATGAATTGCCACATGCCCAAAGCTTTGTTGGAGAAAGATTCCTATTAACTTTTAATGTTTGCTTAATAAGCAAACAAAACCTACAGGCCTTGAAAATTGCCCCTAGTGTTTGAACGCATGATATTGCCTGATGTATAAAACTTAATTTGCAAGTCACATCTTATTTGATATAGGTTGCACATCCTGGTCTAGTTCCCATTTGTATAATGAATATGAAACAATACAGCAGAACAATAAATAATGTCAAACTTAATTCATAACGTTATTCTTGTATGCCATAGAAAGAAAAGAGTAACGGCTAGAAAATTTCACATATCCCCTCTAAGAAAACCCGTCATGTATTACAAATTTTAATATTTATTCTGACTCTAACTTTTGATGGAGAAGGATGAATTGGATTTCTAATTGGTGTTGTCATGTTTCATATCTACATTTGCTGATTCAATTATATTTGTGATTATCACTTTATTATGTTTGGCTTCTAAGCTATTATTTTGTGGAAAACTACTCTTGTTATGCTTCTACTGATCCCAGATTTGGTGACCATGTAATAACATATTTAAAAGACTTCCTGTCTGAAATTCTTTGCTAAGTCCTAACTTGAAAAGTAGCATGTGCTTCACATGAAGACAGGTTAAAACCTGACGTTGTTTTCTTTGTAAGTTCATCCAAATTTTTCAGTTTCAAAGGGTTGCCCTGCATGCAATCACACCCATTCATGTTTAATGTGTACATATTTGTGGCAAATATTATACTCTTTATGTTGCCAAATATGTTGAGAACATAAGCATGTGAGCAAGTTTCTTACTTCCTATTCTTATTCTGGAAATCACATGCTCATAGCCAAGACAGGAGCCCAGACTTAAGAAACCAAGGTAGCGATGATCCTGCAGAACTGTTAGTAGTGTAACAAATTCAAGTTCCTTTTAAATGTTAATTTGTTTGGTTGGTTTGGGTGACTTGACTGGTGTAGTTACAAGTTCAGAACCATAACTACAGTCATTCAAACTAGATGTTTTAAAAAAAACTAAACATCACTTGGCTCGGTTATATAATATTGTCCCAAACACACTAATTTGAGAACATGAGTTTTTAACCAACAGCATTTTTCTCAATTTCATTTATAGCCTAAAGCTATTTTCAATTTATTTTCACCAGGTAATCCAGGCAGTGTGCAATTCCTGTCATAGGGTATCTCCAATCTGGATAGAGGAGCAACAGAGACACCTTTTTTACAGCAGCATTTTCAATCTGTGGAGAGTGTAGTATTAGATGGACTAGCAAATTTGTATGATTTGACTAACAAATGGATGGATAGGTGGACTTGAATAACAATTAAAGCCTAAATCTAATGTTAAACAGTTACAGCAACCGTTTTTTTTCCTTTTGGGATAAAGGTTTTACAAAAATTAATTAAAGCTGGCTATTGTAAGCACCCCTGACAGTGTTAAATGTTTTGTCTCAACCTTCTAATTATCACTTTTGCTGGACAGCTTGGTCTGTTAAAGAGTCTAACAAAAGCCACCAAATCTATGAATTGGTGCAATATAATACAATTTTTGGGGGGGTTTAATACCACTTTAAGGCTAATAATATGCCTGTATAAATGGGCTTGAATCAATTCTAGTATTTGGCAGCCAATGTACAAGAAAATTAAAGCTGGCACCTAACTTTTTTGAACATATTTTTTGGTGTCTAAGGTTTTCCTTGACTGGTAGAGTACCAAAAAAAATTATGGTGAGATATCTGCTCTTAAACTAGATTCTGTACGTATTTGGTCAATTTTGCATGCAAAGTTTATCCTTCCATTCTGTTTTTCCATTCTGAAAGTACTGAGGTCCACTGTAAATACATTTTCCAATGAAAAAAATAAGAACCCTTCTGTGCTGCTAACAAGCAAAATACATATGTATCTCATATCTCACATAGCAATTATAATACAACTTGCCCTGGCCTAATCGTGAAAATACAACAGAAAATATAAAATTGTAATGAATAAGTGATCAAATTAGGACTTTACAATAAAATGCATCATTTAAGTACGTTTCCAGTATTCTGCAGAATGCAAAATATATAAGTTAATCTACCCAAAAGTTAAATACTGTTTTGTTCTAAGATTTACCAAGCAAATTATTGCAGATTGAGCAATATAGGTGAATCTGCAAAAATTGACCTGTGGTCTTGGGTCTAAAATCACTCCCGATACATTCAAATCCACAGTGATCCCATAAAGGTGCCAATTTACCTCTGTGTTATTTCACACTCAAAAGGACTGAAGCTCACCTTTGTGTATGGACCACAAATTAAATCCTTTAGTATACTCAGACACACTTGTACACTACATGAAGTAATAATCCTCCATGCAGCACATACAGTGGGGATCGAAAGTTTAGGCACCCCAGCTAAAAATTTGTATTAATCTGCATAAAGAAGCCAAGGAAAGATGGAAAAATCTCCAAAAAGCATCAAATTACAGATTAGACATTCTTATAATATGTCAACAAAAGTTAGATGTTATTTCCATCATTTACACTTTCAAAAATAACAGAAAACAAAAAAATGGCGTCTGCAAAAGTTTGGGCACCCTGCAGAGTTAATATCTTGTACTGCCCCCTTTGGCAAGTATCACAGCTTGTAAACGCTTTTTGTAGCCAGCCAAGAGTCTTTCAATTCTTGTTTGAGGTATCTTTGCCCATTCTTCCTTACAAAAGTCTTCCAGTTCTTTGAGATTTCTGGGCTGTCTGTCACGCACTGCTCTTTTAAGGTCTATCCATAGATTTTTAATTATGTTGAGGTCAGGAGATTGTGAAGGCCATGGCAAAACCTTCAGTTTACGCCTCTTGATGTAATCCCCCGTGGATTTCGAGGTGTGTTTAGGATCATTATCCATTTGTAGAAGCCATCCTCTCTTTAACTTCAGCTTTTTCACAGATGGCATCAAGTTACCATCCAAAATTTGCTGAAATGTTATTGAATCCATTTTTCCTTCTACTCGTGAGATGTTCCCTGTGCCACTGGCTGCAACACAACCCCAAAGCATGATTGATCCAACCCCATGCTTAACAGTTGGACAGAGGTTCTTTTCATTAAATTCTGTGCCCCTTCTTCTCCAAACGTACCTTTGCTCATTCCGGCCAAAAAGTTCAATGTTAACCTCATCGGTCCACAGAACTTGTTTCCAAAATGCATCAGGCTTGTCTATATGTTCATTTGCAAAGTTCAAACGATGATTTTTGTGTGAGGACGTAGAAGAGGTTTTCTTCTGATGACTCTTCCATGAAGACCATATTTGTACAAGTGGAATAGTGTACCACAACTCCAGTGTCTGCCAGATCTTTCTGGAGGGATCGTGCAGTCAAACGTGGGGTTTGAATTGTTTTTCTCACAATCCTGCGAGCTGTTCTGTCTGATATTTTTCTTGGTCTTCCAGATCTTGCTTTAACTTCCACTGTTCCTGATGACTGCCATTGCTTAATTACATTCCGAACAGAGGATATTGACATCTGAAAACGCTTTGCTATCTTCTTATAGCCTTCTCCAGCTTTGTGAGCGTCAACTATTTTCAGTTTTCTAGACAACTGCTTAGAAGAACCCATGGTGCTGATTGTTGGGGCAAGGTCAGGTGAGTCTGGGCATTTAAAACCTTTGAGATTGACATCTGGTCTTCCCAGACGATGATTGAGAACAATCCATGACACTGGCAGGTCTCAGCTTTGCAAAGGGGGCAGTGCATGCTATAAATTCTGCAGGGTGCCCAAACTTTTGCAGACGCCATTTTTTTGTTTTCTGTTATTTTGAAAGTGTAAATGATGGAAATAAAATCTAACTTTTGTTGACATATTATAAGAATGTCTAATCTGTAATTTGATGCCTTTTGGAGATTTTTCCATCTTTCCTTGGCTTCTTTATGCAGATTAATACAAATTTTTAGCTGGGGTGCCCAAACTTTCGATCCCCACTGTATATGGTAATAACTCAGGATTTCCATGTACAGTCAGAGAAAAGAATACAATGTGGAGCATAGCTTTAAATTTTAGACAAAA